CTCAAATGCGTCTTACAAAATAAAATCTCAACGAATTTTTTATCGTTAATTTCTAAACACCAATGTTTGAATATGAATATGAGCTAATGTTTATTTGTCTGAGTTTCCTCGAATTTATGAATATGCATTACATATTTTGTATACACAAAAATCTCCTCGGGCTGGACAAGGTACATAACATTGACAGTCTCTGTGTGTGCCTGGTATTGTTCTTGTCAAGTTAGATAAATATGATGATATATTTCTAAAATTGTTTTTATATTAAATAATGATTCAGAATTGAATCTCTCAATGGGGATTCGGCTCCTGCAAATTGACATTCCCAGCATGATTCAAGCCTTTCAAATATCATTTTGTTTGTCTGGACAAGTTTTGTTACATATATCAACAAAAAAATTAATGATTAAACTGGACCAATTTCTCAGTTTCATACACCAAAATGAGTGAATGAGTTTGGTTTTACGCTGCTTTTAGCAATATTTCAGCAATATCACGGCGGGGGACACCAGAAATGGGCTTCAGACATTTTACCCATTTGGAGATTCGAACCCGTGTCTTCGGCTTGACCAACAACCGCTTTAACCACAAAGCTTCCCCTCCGCCCCGTTTCAAACGAGATACTTATCACAACGCAGGACACTTACAGAAAGTAGACACCTAGGCATGGAGCACATTCCCATTGTACTTGGACAGGCTCCGCGAATCCCAGGTTTCTTTGTATACCCGCTTATGGAGTGAGTTACTAAGTCACAAATAGGGGCGGTCGGGTAGCCTAGTGGGTAAAGCGTTCGCTCGTCATGCCGAAGACCCGGGTTCGATTCCCGACATGGGTACAATGTGTGAACAAATTATTGCGAAATGTTTATGTCCTTTGAGGGGCGGTCGGGTAGCCTAGTGGTTAAAGCGTTCGATCGTCACGCCGAAAACCCGGGTTCGATTCCCGACATGGGTACAATGTGTGAAGCCCATTTCTGGTATTCCTGGAATATTGCTAAAAGCGGCGTAAAACCATACTCACTCACAATTATGTCCTTTGATCTATTATGCATTTAAACGGCTTTAAGCTGCCTGGTTTGACCTCAAAAATAGTTTGTTGTGTTCAAGTTAGAAGTTGGATCAATAAACAATATTGGGCATATCGCTATTATTATTACTGATTTTCAGTTATTAATAAGTTGTATGCAGCTACTTTAATCTTTGAGTAGACTTTGGATTTAAACACATGGTCTTCTTTCTGCCTTGATCAACAATGGGCGAGAAGATTTTAACGGCACTTCTGGAAGGAGGATATGGTGGTGAAGGGGTACAATGCATTAATCAATATAGAATGGGTATCAAGCATCTGATGTTACTTGCTTGAGTCCATCACTTACTTGATAACGATGATAGAAACTACACCCTAACGTCGCCCCCAATTGTCATAAAGAAGTTGTTCATCCATATAGCTTATCCTTACTTTGTACTCCAAGAAGAGCTATACGAATCTGATAATCGACCCGTGAAGACCCGGGGTTGAATAGGTCTTCAGCAACCCACGCTTGCCGTAAGAAGCGACTAACGGGATCGGGTGGTCAGGCTCGCTGACTTGGTTGATGCATGTCATCTGTCCGAATTGCGTGGATCGATGCTCATGATGTCAATCACTGGATAGTCTGGTCCAGACTCGATTATTTACAGACCGCCGCCATATGGCTGGAATATTGCTGAGTGCAGCGTTAAACAACAACAAAACAAAAACAAAAAAACTCTGATAATCAAGGATGGCTATAGCTATTCGACGGTTCCAGCGTAACCACTCATAGTACTACAGCTTCAGATAAGGTTTTGATCTAGACACCTCTTCTCAATGTATCCGCTACTCTGCATATTTGTTGCAACAGAAATACATATTTTGAGATTACAGTTTCTGTCCCTTTTTCAATATTTATAATATATTATACTAGTGGGCATTTAAAAAAAAATCACTGCAAAATAATCTGATATCTAAGTACCACACCCTCTGTAATTATTGTGACAATTTATCATTAGCACTAATTGGTATCACTTTTTTCTATAAACATACAATTTTGCTCATGTCAGGAAATACATTCCCGTTTCCATAGAACGTTGTGTCATCACCGCGACTTAACAGTGATTCGTGACTTAAGGTTCATGAATGTGCCCCTTACATTTTGTATCAATGGACAGTGTACCCTTACTATGAGAGAAACGTGGATATCAATAGCACCAAGGCCATGAGTCTTTTATTCATACCTATCTTTAGGAAAATAACTATTATTACGAATATAGCATTGAGGAAACCTAGTGGTAAAGTGTTCGCCATTTCATGTCCTGCCCCACCGGTGACAACACATGCAAAGGCAAGCCAAATGTGCACCTGAAAAAACAACCGTGAAGATATGGTACATGTCCTTCACATGTCTACCAGAAAACCCTTTGAAGGCTTTACTGAGGCCTTGAAGGTTGTAACCCTGATCAAAGAACTTCTAAGCAAGAGTTGCATGTGCTGTAGAAATCTTCGTAGGCAAAACACGAAATCTTATTCTCTCGATATGCAGAGAAAAGTTATGTCAGCGGCTGTCACTTCATGAATGAGAAGCAGTTTGCATGCTGCTCCGATAGCATGAGACTGGTGGTATTTCAACACAAGATCGGCTTAGGTGTGAAATGACATGATTATATATAAATAAAGCGACAAAACCCTTTCCATGTCCAATAGAAATCTCTTCTTAAAGCAGAGTCGATTGTACAATTCCGACTATATCATGCGCATGGGAACAAGCATGGTACAAGTCAAAATTGGGAAGTGCATCGGGCATCATTTTTGTCACTGATGCGTCAAATTTGGAAATGTCCTCCACATGTCTACCATAAAACTTTACGAAAGCTTTCCTGAGGCCTTGAATGTTGTAACCTTGATCAAAGAACTTCTGAGCAAGAGTTGTAGGACGCTCTTCGAAATGTTGGTAGAAATAGCATGTTCGATTGTATCTCAAAAATTGCGAAATGTAAACACCAAAGGCTGGAGCTGCCGGAATATTGCTCGACATGAAGGGAAAGTTGGCTATTGGAAAGTTATACTCACTATCACAATCTCAGGACTAGTTCTACAATAAAAGCAAGTTCAAGTTCCCCAAAGCGACCACAGCACTACGTCAGTCCTCACTCATGTACACTAGGCTTATTTCGCTAACTATTTAATACAACGTGCAGCAATGGAGTAGTGATGTTGCATGAAGTCGCTGAAACCGTGTAACCTCAGAATCCGCCGCATAAACTTCGAATATTGTTATAACGTGACGGCCATTTTTGAAGGCACATTATTCTGTGTTTAACAGATATAATGGGAACATCTTGATTTGAAGACAAAAAAAAACGTAAACAATTTGAACAGTTAAGGACGTTGGCATTACGAGGTTCATATAATAATAATAAGGCTATTTGTATAACGCAAACCACTGAGGGACATGCTCACTGTGCAAAGTCAGCATATGTACATATAAACAACAGAGTGGGGACAGTAAGATAGTAATATTATACACATTCAGTTGTAGCGTTCAAAAAGGTATGTTTGAAGTCCAGACTTAAACACAGTGATGCAAGGTGCACTTTTAAGGCTGAAGGGAAGGGAGTTCCATATCAATGGTATATCAGGCACCTTTGAACTTTTGTACAATACATGGTTCGGTGCACTGACCTCGAGAACGACACTACTTTATTGGTAGGTCAGACTCCTTTTTTACGGATGTTGATTGTGAAATACTTGGTCGATAGGTCGGCACATAATAAACAAATAAAATGCATAGTATTGGATTTTCTTTTAAAATTCATGTTAAAGTTTGATTTTGATCGGTAGGTACAAAAATAATAATCTTGGCCTGGTTTGGGACCTTACAGACAGTGTTAATCTAAAATACGACAGCGGCATTTAATTGTCATTAATGGCAAAGCGATTTGAATCTAAGTCGGTAGAAACCTTTATCATACTGATTACATGGATATTTGTTTCAGAATTTTCGATTTTTAAAGTCGGCGGATCCATGAACTAAACATCACATGTAATACCTCAAAGTATTCTTGGGCAGTCGGGTAGCCTAGTGGTTAAAGCGTTCGCTCGTCACGCCGAAGACCTGGGCTCGATTCCCAACATGGGTACAATGTGTGAAGCCCATTTCTGGTGTCCCCCGCCGTGATATTGCTGGAATATTGCTAAGAGCGGCGTAAAACCATACTCATTCACTCACTCATAATATTTTTCATCATGCATGACACAGAACTTTTTGTTGTATCGTCAACTGGACGATGAAGTAAAGCTGACTTTCTGAATCTCTGCACTTGTACACATGCAACAGACGTAATGCAAAATTAAAATATCGTGTTTATTAGTTTCAACGGAGTTCGGTAAATGCACTATCGTGTCACTAGATTTTCTGGTTCATCGATCACTTGATTGTCTGGTTTGTTTACAGGCCGCCGTCACATGGCAGGGGAACTGTTGTGCGGTGTTGTGCGGTGTCAGGAAATAAACAATTATTTATTTAAATTGTGTGAGTGGCGGTTGCTACCGGTAGGACAGGACATGCTTACCCTTTTCGCAAAACCTCATCAGTGAATTTCAGTGGTCCATTCATATAATTTTCACCACCATTTTGTGTTTTACGTCCAATAGAATCTGTTTCGACGAATAATCAAGACTAGTTATTCTATTGCATTGACATTTTATATTTCATTATATTAATGAAGTGGTACAAAAGGTTTTCATTATTCCAAAGCATGTTTATTACATCATTTCTAGAAGGAAAACATTGCCAGTTGTCGTTCATATATCAATAAAAAGGTGACGTTAATTTCACGGTCGGTCATAGTTGGGTAGTTAGTTCATACATCAATAAATAGGTGAAATATAATGAAATGGATAAATCAATATAAGAGAGTCGTGTTTACATCATCTCGCCTCCAAGAAACCATCGTCATTGGGTCGAAAAACAATTAATTTCATATTGATGCAATCTCTTTATTTTAGTGAGAATGTTCATACAGCAACATTTTTGAAATTGAAATACAATATATGAATCAGGGGTCGGAAATAGTTGGGACGTCCATTCTTCAATAAATAGGTGACATGAAATGGATAAATTATTACAGTCGTAGGGTCGTGGTTACATCATCTCGCCTCCAAGAAACATCATCGTCATGGGGTCGAAGCCTTGTCCACCTCTCTGGTTGCGATTGTTCATGAGAGCCATCATGGGCCACATGTTGTCGACGCCGTTCATCATGGCGAAAGGGAGCATCATATTGTTGGACTGCCTTGGGTTCATCATCATGCTGTACATGGCCATCCTGCGCCCGTTGTCACCCCCCATCATGAAAGGGAGATAGTTCATGGGGGACTGGGCAGCGTTGTTGGCGTGGTGATTGTTGGTGGCAGCCGTCGGGTGGTTGTTATTGAAGACATTACTGGCATGGGACAAGAAAGCGCCTGGCATCGGGCTCGGATGCTGTGCAGGTGCGAGGGGTATGCCGTTGACAGTGTTGCCGAGTGGAATGCTAGATGCTGTCATTCCGGGGGCGACACTATTCTGAGCTGAAAAAGAACATATTTCAGATCATATTTTATTTAGAATACTTCAAAAGAAAACATTGAATACTGTAAAAATAAGTTTGAGACATGCTTGGGCATGCATATAATTGATACAATCTTCATCTACAGAGTAAAAATAATAATTATTTTATTATTATTCGCTGAGGGGGCAAGGACCCTGAGCTGATAATGACCCTAACCAGCCTGACTGTGCCAGAATCACGCAAACCCTCTTTGCTGCATTTTATTATTTTAATCTGTACATAATAGCAACAATAATAAGAATTATGCTACTACTACTACTGCTGCTACTACTACTACTGCTGCTACTACTACTACTACTACTACTACTACTACTACTACTTCTACTTCTACTAAAGTACTGCCGATGTGACGTTAAATATTAACTCACTCACTCACTAAACTACTTACCATGAATGGTGACTGCCACAAAGGCGAAAATGACACAAACTACTGCTTTCATTATTCGTCTTTCCTGGAAAATAAAAAAATAATATGAATAGAAAGTTATAAACATAACAATAATGACTTGAAATGTGTACTTCACTACCATTACCGTTACAAAGGCAGGTAACCGTGAAAGGCTTTCCTCCTACAATAAGAGGACGCGATAACTAAAATACTGTTCACATTGGCGTAAAACAAATTAACTCACTATATATACAATTTTTACTTTTCCTTCCTCTGGAGATAGTAGTACAAACATTTTAAGACGTATTATATTTGGTCAGGATAACTTTATTCTGAAGCTATATATGACACAAATAGTTGACGTTTCCTTACCTTGTGCTGCTTCTGAACCAGAACTCAAGCCAGGGATGATGTGCTGAATATCCAGCACTGGGCATTTTATATCCCCTGGTGTGGCAGTGGGTCGTGGTATCCCGTCAGCAATACGTTACCCTTCTACATGATGTACATGATGTAAGTTGTCAAGTGACCATGTCTTCATGACTTGGTTATCACATAATTCTTGTTTTATGTCCGTCAAGTGACCTTGTCCGTGGTTATTACATATGTCTTGTCGTATACCCTGATGATATGTTGCATGCATCAGTTTAAATCTACACAGCAGTTTTGAATAATAACTTCCTATGGAATAACGCTAGATCGTTCCACGTCCGGGCTGCCATATCTTTTAACATCGCTATCAATGATTGAATATTAATAATCATGTTAAGTTGTATTTGCGTAAGAGTTCACTCGAGAGCAACTACTTACAAATAGTTAATTGTTGTGTTGCATCAGTTGTACATTTATTCGTCTTAATCTGTCTACGATGCGCCAACGTTAAAATTTGGTTTAGGAACCTGATGTCCAACACCTTGTCAGAGGGGTACACAGAGTACGTGGTCTAGACTTCCAGTAGTCGGACTTCCAGCCTCGGTGGCTGAGTTGGTTAGATCGCTAACTTTGTTGGCGATTAGGTGCCTTACTCTGAGAGTGTGGGTTCGATTCCCTGATTGGACTCAACCAACACAGTATTAGAATTTGTAGCAGGAAAGTGTAATCCCAAATATAACATTGGTTTCATTGAACTTGATGTCGTTTTCACAAACGAAAGGGTTTAATGTGCTTAAATTTCTCTAGTTTGACTTTTTGTACCATAAGTTCCCTCTCTTGTTCAGATGAACACTTGACATGCCTTTTTCCCTTTGACAAGATGGATGACTTCAATTTTCCCTTCATGTCATGCAATAGTCCTTGCAGCTCCAGTCCTTGGTGTCTACATTTCACAACTTTTGAGGTACAATCGAGCATGATCTTTATACCAAGATTCAAAGAGCGTTATACAACTCTTACTCAGTTTGATCAAGGTTAAAACATTAAAGACCCCAGTAAAGCTTTTAAAAAGTTTATGGTAGATATGTGGAGGACATTTCCAAATTTGACGCATCAGTGATTAAACGTATGTCTGATGCAGGAATTTAGTACCATTTAATGTAAACAGTGATGAGGAAGTTGTCATATATAGATGCTCGAACTACCTGTAAACTTCCGGAATGGCGTGGATGGATGTCAAGCGGTATAGAAAGATATGGAACAATCTGTGATTTTTAGGGACACTGGACTGGTCTAGCACTGTGTGGAAAGTGCTGGAAGGTAGTTGGAGCGGATGCCTGCCTGTCTCATCTCACATTTCATCTGACATTACTAGCTTTCGTGTTAAGATCACTTTTCACCCTAGTGTTCAGCCAAGGCCTATCTTTGAAGCTTGACCACTGTTGCCGCGTGGTAATTATTATTCTTGTCATTGTCATTTCTGCTGCTCTCACATTTTATACTGGGGGTGGTCGGGTAGCCTAGTTGTTAAAGCGTTTGCTCGTCACGCCGAAGACCCGGACTCGATTCCCCACATGGGTACAATGTGTGAAGCCCATTCCTGGTGTCTCCCGCCGTGATTTTGCTGGAATATTGCTAAAAGCGGCATAAAACCATACACACTCACTCACATTTTATACTGCCATTGAATAGTGTACTACCTATATATTGTGTATTGTCATTGTAATTGCTGTGCAGTAACTTGTATTGATTTGTTAACCTAGTTAATTGTGTAATACAAGTGTTGATTGTATACTATATGTTAGTTGCTTTTTGGTTTCACACTACATTCTTTTAGGACAGATTTCTGGGTTAACATATTGTTTCAATTTGGGAATCGACACGTAACAATATGTTCCCGTGGGGTTTTTTTCAGGTGAATAATTGGGTTGCCTTTGCATGTGTTTGTGACGGGTGCTACTGGTGGGGCAACACCATTTCGCGAACACCTGGTATCATCACTGATTGATAGTGATCCATAAATATTATGCTTATCATATATAGTCACAACGGTACAATGGACAATGCTTTCAGCAAATATTTTTTTTATGTTTATGGAAAGTGGTTTGTCGCTTTTACTTATCATATGTATATATCTAATATAATAAACACTAAAACAACTGATAATGTATATTAATTTAACACGCTCACTCATTAAAAGTCAAATATGTGTCTTGTATATATCAACAGTACTTCGGACACTTCAGCAGGTAAGAAGGTTACATATGAAGATCGAAACCCATTCCACGTAGTTGAGTAAGGGCGTTTTGACATCATATTCAGTTAATATGGCAGGGTTGCGTCATTTCTACATTATGACTGTGTAAGCCATCAGTCGTATTTCGTGACTGCCAAGTTTGCTGTCGACGCAGCATTGATTAATTCGTCTCATACGAGACAATGGATTTCATCACAGAGAAGAAATAAGTGACTTCAAAAACTTGATTTTAGACATAGATTGGGACATAATATCAAGCCGGTGGATGTTGTTTCAGAATATAAGCTTAAAGATACATTTGTAAATTTAAAACGTCAACGCCAGAGACCAATGCGTCTTGAATATCTCCCGAATTTGATTCCTTTTGGCGTAAAAGGCAAAGTAGTGCTAAAAATCATATGAAAGGATTACTGAAAATCGGTGATGACACCAGGTGTTCACGAAAAGGGTAAGCATGTCCTTCTCTACTGGTAGCCCCACACAATTTCCTAACAAAGGTAAGTGTTTGTTGCCTAACGCCGCACAGTAATACGCCATCGGCAAACAATACGCTAAATTAATATGTCAATACTGATAACATCTTTAAGAAATGTCAACAGAGATTACATGTCATGCTTACATTAAGATCCTTTAATGTTATCAAAAGTATATTGACTTTATGGTTGTTTTTTCAAGTTTTTAACGTTTTCCATTCAGTGCTGGTACGGAACTCTTTCTCTTCAACATATAACAAGCTAGGACAAATTTGTAATATTAGCTAGTAAAACAGCTTTGCCATTTTATATAAAACAATATGTATCACAGCTCACAGTTCTACCTTCTATATCAGTCTAGGCAGTTTATACTTCTTCCTCCTATATCTTGTTAGTGTAATCAGTGTCGACTGTTTGGAATATATTGATTTTGAAAAATACTTTATATATATAATTTCAATATGAAATAGGAATTCCCTTCAGGGTCAAAATGTCACCGACATTTCAATATTGTTGTACATTTAACATTTCTTTTGTTGTTATTTTATTTAACGTAAACTTATCCTGATTTACTGTCACTAAAGTATTTTTCAAAATCAATATATTCCAAAAAAATATAAACTGCCAAGACTGATATAGAAGGTAGAACTGTGAGCTGTGATACAGATGCTAGAGTTGTAGGCTGTCCTAACTAGATTTAGAAGGTAGAAACATAGGCTGCTCTAACTAGATATACAAGGTAGAAATGTAGACTGTCCTGATTAGATATCACTGTGGACTGCCTTAACGTGATATGAAAGGTAACAATGTCGGCTGTCTATACTAGATATAGAAGGAACAAACATAGGCTGTCCTAACTAGATATGAGATATAGCAACGTAGGCTATCTTAACTAGGTATAGAAGGTAGAAATAAAGCTAACCTAACGAGATATTTAAAAAAAGTTAAAATGTAGGCTGACCAAACTAGATATGGAAAGTAGAAATGTAAGTTGCCTTAACAAGATATAACGAAGTAGAATTGTAAACTGACCTATCCATATATAGAATGTAGTAATGTAAGCTTCTCTCACAAGATGTAGATAGTATAACTGTATGCTTCTCTCAGAATAGGCGATACATCTGTAGAGCCGGAGGATTAATGCTAGCATATGCTAGCATTTGTAAATAGTAATGTAGGCTAGATCAAAGCAATCGTTAGAAATGACTAAGAAGAATACGTAACCCATATTCAGTGTGGAGATGGGGTTCATTTGTGCATGTTTGTTATATTTGGGAATTGTAAATTCGATTGTGTCATTTTTGTTCTTTCTTTTGTATGATTATTTTAGTGACCCATGTTTATGAGTAGTATTATCACAAAGGAACTAACCCAAGAGTTCCTAAGACGTCACATTGCAAAGGGCATAAGCCATGGTGTTTTATTATGTATTTACACTACTAGGTTAACACGTTTAATGTGGAAACGTCATAGAGGTACACAGAGGTAACCGTCTAGAGGTACACACAGGTACCCGTCATAGAGGTACACACAGGTACCTGTCAAAGAGATACACAGAGGTAACCGTCATAGAGGTACACAGAGTCAACCGTCATAGAGATACACAGTCAACCGTCATAGAGATACACAGAGGTACCCGTCATAGAGGTACACACAGGAACCCGTCATAGAGGTACACAGACGTAACCGTCATAGAGGTACACAGAGGTACCCGTCATAGAGATACACAGAGGTAACCCTCATAGAGGTACACAGAGGTACCCGCCATAGAGGTACACAGAGGTACCCGTCATAGAGGTACACAGAGGTACCCGTCATAGAGGTACACGGAGGTACCCGCCATAGAGGTACACAGAGGTACCCGTCATAGAGATACACAGAGGTAACTCTCATAGAGGTACACAGAGGTACCCGCCATAGAGGTACACAGAGGTACCCGTCATAGAGTTACACAGATAAATCCGTCATAGAGGTATACAGAGGTAACCGTCATAGAGGTACACAGGGGTACCCGTGATAGAGGTACACAGATAAATCCGCCATGGAGGTACACACGTTGTACAAAGAGGTTTTTATTATTTCAAGGCATTTTATTACTTCGTTGATCGAAGGAGAACGTTTTCAGTTGTCGGTAAGCTATGGCAAACCGGTTGAAGAATCAGTAATAAGTGACGTTTAAGTGATATTTTGATACGGTCATAGGTCGTGTTTACATCATCACGCTTCCAAATATAACAACTTCTTTCTATAAAATAAAATGGTACAAATAGATATTTTAAGGCAATACAACATTATATATGTACAACTAAACGATAAGTGAAAAGAACTGTTCATTCAACAATGCATCTCTCCCCTTCAAACTCTCTCTCTCTCTCTCCATTTTGTCTCCCCCCCCCCCCCAAATCTCGTTCACTTCTTGTGAATAAATGTGTTTCAATTGAAAAAGGAGAACATTATTTACTTTATCAATGCACTTTTATTGATCAATCTATAAAAAATCCATATCATCAGGGGTCGGTAATTGTTGGGTTGTGAGTTCAATAAATACATCATCAGGTCACATGAATGGATAAATTATTACAGTCGTAGGGTCGTGTTTACATCATCTCGCCTCCAAGAAACATCATCGTCATGGGGTCGAAGCCTTGTCCACCTCTCTGGTTGCGATTGTTCATGAGAGCCATCATGGGCCACATGTTGTCGACGCCGTTCATCATGGCGAAAGGGAGCATCATATTGTTGGACTGCCTTGGGTTCATCATCATGCTGTACATGGCCATCCTGCGCCCGTTGTCACCCCCCATCATGAACGGGAGAAAGTTCATGGGGGACTGGGCAGCGTTGTTGGCGTGGTGATTGTTGGTGGCAGCCGTCGGGTGGTTGTTATTGAAGACATTACTGGCATGGGACAAGAGAGCGCCTGGCATCGGGCTCGGATGCTGTGCAGATGCGAAAGGAACACCGTTGACCGAGTTATCGAGGGGGACGCCAGATGCCGTCATTCCGGGGGCGACACTGTTCTGAGCTGAAAAAGAACATATTTCCAGTTATTCTTCAAAAGGAAACATTGAATTCTATGAAATATGCTTGGAATATCTTTAGACATGCAAACAATTTGATATAAGTGTCATCTATTTATAAATATAAATATAAGGAGTATATTATAATCTAATAAATATTCATTACTTACCATGGATTGTGACTGCCACGAAGGCACAAAGGACACAAACTACTGCTTTCATAATTCGTCTTTTCTGTGGGAGAAAAAATGATATAAATAGGAAATTGTAACCAGATCAGTAATAGTTTGGTTACTTCACTGCCATTACCGTTACAAAAGACGGGTAACGTGAAGGGCTTTCCTCCTACAATAAGAGGACGCGAAAACTAAAATACTGTTCACATTGGTGTAAAACAAATTAACTCACTGTATGAATTTGTTACTATTATTATTGCGATAGCAACTCAAACACTTAAAGATTATATTTGGTTAGGATTACTTTATTCTGAAGCTATATAAGATACAAATAGTTGACGTTTCCTTACCTTGTGCTGCTTCTGAACAAGAACTCAAGCCAGGGATGATGTGCTGAATGTCCAGCACTTGGCCTTTTATATCCGCTGGTGTTGCAGTGGGTCGTGGTTTCCTGTCAGCAATACATTACCCGTCTACATGATGTACATGTTGTAAGTTGTCAAGTGACCATGTCTTCATGACTTGGTTATCACATAATTCTTGTTTTATGCCCGTAAAGTGACCATGTCTATAGCTACATTGTATCACATATGTCCAGTCGTATACCCTAATGATATGTTGCATGCATCAGTCTAAATCTACACAGCAGTTCTAAATAATAACTTCCTGTGGAGTAACATTAAGTCGTTCCACGTCCGGGCTGCCAGTTCTTGTAATTTGTTATGAATACTTGAATCAACACTGTTAAGTTATCGTCGAAATAGACAATTAAGTGAGTAAACTGTTGCATTAGAAATGGTGCATATATTCGTCTCAACTATCCTACATAGCGCCAACGTTAGTATTTGTTTATGAAATTGTTTTGTTTTTTTCACAAAAGAAAGGATTTAATTTTGTCTTGGTATGATTCCGTGTTTGTTCATGTGACGACTTGGCATGCGTAGTCAAGACTGTTTGTATTTGCATGTGTTTGTTACGGGTGCCACCGGCGAGGCAAGATAACCTCACCATTTCGCTAACATCAGGTATCACACTGACCGACACGCAGACAGACAGACAGGCAGACAGACAGACAGACAGTCTATTTATTTCAGTGTTGGAGTCCCAGTGGCCCAGTGTACAAATTGCCAATGGTGTGTGATATAGAAATTTACATCAAGCATTGTACATCAATCAAGAAATTCCTTGAAGTCACTTAACATTAATCAATCAATTTTGCAATCGACTTTTAAAAACTCTTGTTGACACTGATGAGTATCGCTTGGAGTATATCATAAGTGAACATCAAGCTACAAATCCGTATGATTCTGCTCTGGTGAAAATCTACGATACTGTATCTATATAATGAAAGTACATAAATTTCCATTTATATCATTAAATATTTTAATGAAAATGGCTAAACCTTTCAAAACTTTTCTATTTCTAGTTGACATCAAATCTATAAGCTTCTCTCTTGATGGATAACTATGATAGTATATCTGTAGCTACACATTTCTGCTTGACCTGTAGTAGGGACACACTAGCAAAAAATGATATTCTTCTTCGATCTCCATCAAGTTACCTTTATCACAAATTAGGCGTCTTGAATCATACACTGTTTTTCGGTAGCGTTACGTTTAAAACTTTCAAACCATGTTACAGACATCAAAATTTAGCTTGTATTATCATAAGATATTTATCAAAATTTGATGTTATTTATAATTCAGGTTCGAGTAATGTTTAATGCGATCAATAATGTTAAAGAAATACAGAAGTATAAATCTTTTGGTTCCAAGTTTGAATTTGAATATCAATGCATCTGCTACTCATAATAACATTCATCCCCAAATACCTAGGATACCCAGACGTATGAGAATTATGTTTGGAATAACAACATTTTAACATGTGACGCCCAGTTTACTTCTCTATTATCCACATATACATGTACTTTTAGCATGTCATAGCAAGTTCGAGGACACGCACCAACCTCACCAATACTTTATACATCGACAGAAATACCTAACACACAATGAATATACCCCCACTTCCCGAAGAACAACATTGGTTGATGTGCGTTTACAAAGTAAAACGAATCTTTTGAAAAAATCAGTATATTTTTTCAACACTTTCCTTACAAGTGTATCCCCAGATCTAACTGCGATAGCATGCGGAAGGAGTTTGCATCAAAAGTAGAAACAATTCCTGATAAGATTATATATTTGAAAACATGCTTTCTTCGCCTGTACAGCTTATGTCAAACAAGCTTTGACCATACTAATCATACTAATACTAGACATTCACAATAAGATACTATGTTCATTCATTCATTGCCATAAAACTATTTTTCTACACGGTTAACATAACCGCCTTTTTTACATATGTTTTTTTTTTTTAATTTACCTCTATATTCCACTTCTGGAACATTCTAATGCTAATGGCTTAATTATATATGTCAACAGCGGAATCTGACTTCAAACAACTATATCTTGATGGCCTCAATCATGTCATTTACAAAGACACCATTCGTTTCACTTTCCACCACATCAGTAGCCAACTGGTTAATGAAAACAATATATGAAAAGTACAGGACTAAGCACACAGCCTTGTCTAACACCGCATGGCGTTGAAAAAATATCTGTTTCCTAAACAAACACAAGCACACGCATTTATGTACATGCTTTCTAAGACATTATACATTTTGCCATGAATACCCTTCAGTAATAACATATATAACAACTTATTCCTATCAACTTTATCAAAGGCTTTACGGAAGTCAATATATGCTGCATAAAAATGATGTTTAGGCTTACGTAGATATTTCAGAGCAAGTGAATGCAAGACAAAGATATTATATATCGTTGAAAATTCCATTCTAAACCCAACTTGGGGCTCGACTATCAATTTATTTAATTCTGACCAATATCGCAGTCTCGACTCAATTATTGATTTAAAATATTTTCCCGTCATATGAAGTAAAGATTTTCCCCTGTAATTGTTTAGATCACTCCTATTTCCTTTTTAAATGAAAGTATCATTACTTCAACATTTCAATCATCCGGGAATATACCCTTATCCATAATAGCATTATATTCTCATGTAAGGGAGACAAACCATTTAAAGAATTTACAACTACTTCAATTAATGTAATTTCCCCTGACAATAATTCATTGTTGCACTCAACACAAGTGTCTAAATCATGGTCTCTTAAAAATTCCGCTACTTTTGTTTTTATCAAATTCACTACATACTAAACACTGAGTATTTGATAACTTCTCAAAATATGAATACCAGCTGTTAAGGGACATAGAAAAGTCATTTTCATTTTTACTGAGTGATGGCTTTAATATTTCGCTAAAATAATTTGCAATTTTTTTCAAAAACAACTTTTATGGGCACGCCTGTACGTCATCTTTTTTTACTTGACAATCATGATCAAACAATTCGAGTTGTGATTTAGACTTTGAACATGGTAGTTTGGGCGCTTTTCGAAGATGTGCACCTGTAAATTCCTAAAGCTTTACATGCCTTTACTGCTGCGGAATTAACAGACAAACAGACAGTTTATTCAGTAATTTAGGCATCAAGGCCCATAGTACAATGCAGATTGGATATTAACATTTGTCACGTGATGTACATGATTTGATTTAAGTCAAAGGTTTTTTAATTATATAAGTTCCTTATAAACACAACTTAAAAAAACAAACTTTCGATAATCCCTGTTGCTTGAGGCGTAGAAAAGTTGTCAATAAAAGTTTGAGCTTAATTGCTTGCCCAAATAAATCTTGGGATATTAACTTTTTTCCTTGTATCACAAGTATGTTCTATCTTATTCTCACTAAATGTAAAAGCGTGAAGAAGCTTGCATAACATTGGTAAATGATCAGATTCCGTTCTACTGTGTACAGTCATATCGGTAATATTTTGGAAAACGTTAAAGGAAGCAACAAATTAAAATAGTCAATTATACTGGTACCATTGTGACCAACATATGTAAAGCACCATATTGAAACTGATGTATAAAAATCATGCATATGATAGAGTCAGAAATGTACAATGGACATAGTTTTTAGCAGATTTTTCTAAGGTTTGTGGAAAGTGATTTGTCGATGATATTTGAGAAATAAAGTTTGCTCTACCTTCATGTACAGCGTAAGAAAGCAGAGAACAAGGAGGTAGGGCATACTTTATTACTTTTCTAAGATGCCGAATATTAAGACTAACTGTGCTTTTTTGGAGCTGGGTGGAATGAAATCTGTAATACCCTGTGAGGTAAATTGAGAATCCTCGAACAGGCTAACTGGCGGGCTCGTCCACGTATTGATGGGTAGTTTATTTTTTAAATAGGTCACATTTTATTATCAGCTTCGTGTGTTGTTATCCATACTCCCATGCAAAGATATGTAGGATATAAAAGTAAGTTGGTTTATATAAATTTATTTCAATTCAATAACGTGACTAAAACATTCCACAAGTTCATTCTAACGCATGGAAACATAGCCGAAGTTCGGTGTCGCTAGTTATTGTGAGTTCGGGTGTTTTCTGTCGTACAAGTTGCAACTTTGTTTCTACTACTACTGTTAGCAGACTGCAGCAAGTGCAATCTATGAAATAACGTTCTTTCGGAGTTGTTTGCGCTGCATGATACCGTAACCGACGTTAATCGACGGCCTGGGGCGTGATGTGGCATCGCCGTGGGATTAACATGGCAGGGTAAGAGCAACACGGCCGTTTTGATTGACTGCAGTATAATGCTAAATGCCGTTCGCTGAGCAGCAGTTGTACATGTCGTTATGAAACGTTTCATGGATTGTTCATGCTTGTGTCCAGAGACGGACATAATTCATAGAACACCAACGCCCCTTCGGAAATTTTGTGACTTATGTGGTATGTACACAGTGGTTTAAAAATGGTTAGGATAAGCCTGCGGCATGAGAGATAGTTGACATCATCTTGCCATGTTTCTTCCCAGGTAATAATATTCAAATTTTCGACAAGTTTAAAGAAGAAACTATTTCACCGAAAATTTATGTGGATGCTTCGTTTTGCTTGACTGAAAGAATGTTGTTGCCAAGGATACGTTAGTGCACTGTAATTTGAACAGCGTCGTGACGTTAACAAATTATGATGTAACTCAAAAAGTGTAATTTATTTCAGAATAAAGTACAGTCGGCGCCAATGATCTTCTAAGAATAACATGTAAACTCTGAAGCAATTGATAATATATATCAATTTAACCCACTCAAGTCAAATACTTGTATTGTATATATCAACAGTACTTCGGACACTTGAAAAGACAAGTTAATGACAAATGAACAACGAAACCAATTTCACGTAGTTGAGCAAGGTCTTTTTGACATCGCATTTAGTTGATATGACAGGGCTGCGTCATCTTGGCACTAACGACCATGTGTTT